CACTGAACCAGAGTATAGTAAACTGTAGTTCAATGTCAAATCATTATTTAGACAATGTTAAAAAATTATTGAATAATCAGACCATCTGGCAAAATCAAAGTGCAGAATCCTTGGTGCACCATCCTTCTCCTTGTTCAATTGGTACCCCTTCCAAGGTGACTCGGATGGAATGGGATATTCAGGCCTACCATTTTAAGTCGAGAAAAAATTGTGGTATTTGAACCCAGAACTATGCGATTCGAAAGCTGCTGTAGCATCTTAACCACCGACACCTCCACTACAGAGAGAGACTATTTGTATGAGGATACTTAAGTAGTGTACATATTAATAGATTGTATAATCTTTGAATTGTTTTCATTAAATTAACATAATTTAATCATCAAACTTTAGTTTAACAGTGCATTGATCCTCATGAAGATTCATGAATGCTGAGTATACAATAGTTGGCAGTTTATCAACAAAATTTTACAATGCCACATGGAATATTTTTTTCCTATTACCTTGTAAATATTTTTTTTAAATATAATAATTATATTGAACTCTAACCTTTGGCTTGTGACCTGAAGCTATGGTAATTAAACAAGGACTTCCTTTAAAGTTTTTTTTTTTCAATGACAGGAAAGTGTCATAGAAAACTGTGATGATAGTCCTGTCAGTGTCAGACTAAAGTAGAGAATGAATCACAGAGTTTCCTGCCAGTGCCATATGAACTGTGTGGGAGACACCAGTACATAAGAACACTGTGTTGCTATTACATTTTTAACAACTACTATACGATGACATTCACTTTTATGGATAATAAAGGATTGAAGCTTTTAACGGATTTCCATTGATAAATTTTAAGTAGCCAGTAGAAGGAATAAAATGAGGTTAATAATATGTGTTTGCTTGGCCATTTCAGGTAGGCCTATCATTCCAATGTTGGTCAGTAAGTTTTTCTGTTTCAAATTTCCTTTGTGAGTATGTCCTTCAAATTAGTTCATTAATCGTATTTTAAATTGATAATGTGATATTATTATAATACAATGTCAGACACGTATACAGAGATCTGAGTTGATAAAAGCTGTTTGTCATGATATCTACTGATAGGAAACGCACTAATGATTGGAATAAATACAAGTCTAGGCTTGATGTTTTATTTGTCAATCTCTTGCTGGACAAGTTAATTTTCTTTTACCAGCTGTGAGACATAGTTCCACATTCACTGTAGTGTAAGTCTAACAGACATTCTCTCTATGGCAGGGGCATGGATTTGGAAATAGTAGGTCAATGAGCTTTCATGTACACTAAACATTATATTTTACTATGCCTGATTATAACTCATGGCCTAGCTAATTTTGATTTTGATAGTAAAAACATGTAAACATTCTGAATTTACGGAAGATGAGTTTGTTTCCGGATGACTTTTGCTTGCTCTACAAAATGTAGGAATTACTACTGATTTCCGGGAGACTTTAGACCACTGAGTAATTAAATTAATCAGCATCGTAGGCCTTAGTTGAAAAACATTTTACTCGATTCCTTTTATCATGTAGCTTTATGAACATACTCATAATCCATGAAATTTCTTAGCTTTCAGGCATTAGTATTCATGAAGCAAAGCTATAAGGCCACTCTTTTTCTCCATCTGATTTTTGAATGTTTTTACACTTCTGAATTTTCAAATTTAAATGTCAAAATTTAAAAATCATTATTATTAAACACACAGAATGCACATGTTTCCAGGGTGTGGCATCCAATGATGAACATTTTTTTACTAATTGTATTCATTAATCTGTCATAACATTGGATTTCCCAACATATAGTTGTCAGAACTTGTGAGACACAGGATGCCCACTAATTAATATTCATTTGTAATTTTGAATTTTCATCATTCAGTTATTAACATACTGTAGAAGCTATCAGGATGCCCATACTGTATTCAGCACATTATTATACATTGTAAGTCTCGAAACCATCACCGTTTAGGTTGCGACAAATTAGTATGAATTTAGTGCACACTTTAGTAATTTATCAAGGTGGTTGTGTGTCAATTTCACTCATAGATTGACACATATCCAACTACTGCACTGTAAAGCATCATTTCCTCTCTATAGTACAGTACAGTATGCAATTTTCCAAGTCATTCTGTAGCACTTTTAAAGTTCAGTCTAATTCTAAATACCTTGCCTTTTTCTATTATTGACATTTCTTTTATTGTTAATGCCAGGTATTCCATACATTTTGATATTATTTCTTGTTTGTCAGGTTTTTTTCGCTGTTTACAAATCTGCTGACACTGTTGCCCTTAGTGTAACACTACTGCCTTAACAAACCCCTAATCCCTATAATATTAATAATAATAATAATAATATTTATTGGCAATCATCAAGAACAATTATAGCCTGGAGTGAGAATAGGCAGAAGCCCAAACAGATACTGCACACACTCCACCTTACAAAGAAAATACAATTAAAGTATCAAGAATAATTTAATATACGAAATATAGTACTTAGAGCAGATTTAAAAGATGAGATAACTCCCCTTTCTTTATAAAATCCCTGGGTATCTCAGTCAGAGGTAAGCTATTGCCATATTTACCTCTGGTGCCCTACTCAAGTATGTATCCCTACACATAAAGCATTCTGACCTTCATAAAATAATTATTTTACACCTTAATGACAAGATAGTTGTGAAATTAATCTTAATACTACTACATACAGTAGAATAGAACTATAATTACTACAGCTTGTGATGCTTTCGTTAATTTTAATCTTGTTTTTAATTTCCTATTTACCCTATATACAACAAGTGGGCTTGTTTCCTATTTAAGTTTGCAGTGTACAATTTTATTTATTCAAGTTTAATGTTTCCGATAAAAGTTCAAAGTTCATTTATAAATTCATTTTCCAAAATCGTCTTGTTTGATATTTGGTGTTGATTAACGTAAGGAAGAATGCAGTATTGCCATGTATGAATTTATTTTACATTGTTTATTTGAAATGCTTTTAAGTCTGACTTTTATGAGCCTCAATTTAAATATAATTATGCAAATTGAAATTAATAATTATGTTTTAATATTAAATAGAATTATGTGAGTTACTATGCCTACGAAACTTATGGCAAGTGCAATTATGTTCAATAATTGATAATACCGTTTAACACCAAATCAAGTAAACCTTGATTGATTCCATTGTACTGAGATATACATTTATCACTGAATGCTCACTTTGCACAATGTGTTGCAATCTACAGCACTAAACTTAAATCTTTGCTGTCTCTGAGTGCACTCATCCATCTAGCAACCATTATCTGTGTATTGCTCAACCTAATTTACTCAATAACTTCACATTCCTCAATTAATTTTGCGTGAAATTATCATGTCTGATTGAAACCAAGTTATTCAGGTATTGTACCTAAATTAGCTTCATTTCACTTTTTAAGTTGGAGTAAAACTAGTTTTCAAATGGTGTTGTTAGTAGAACAGGTTAAAAATTTAATACCTCTGTGAACATTGAAAGTGGTTAGCAAACCAATGGCAGTCAATTGTAAGTTTGTTTTGTAATTATTTTATTTATTTTAGAACAACAATAAAATTTCAACAAGTTGTTTTAATTCAGTGGAGAAAAATTCCTGAAGTACAGACAGTAATTGAATGTGGTAGAATCTTGGGATTGAAAAACAAAGCTTCTTTTGGGTTTTTTTTTTTTTTTTTTTTTAATACTACTTGATAGATACTGTACTATATCAACATTATGAAAAGCAAAGTTGATCCAAAAATTAATCAATAATATTAGAAATGTCAATATGTTTTTTTATAGTACGTTAACATAACTGTTGATAGGCATCAAAGAATTAAATTGATGTTCAGTTAAATGCTTATTGACCATTACTGTACCTATCAAGCTAAAACGCTAATTGCATATATTGTTGAATTTAAAAGGAATATATTTGCCTGCTTTGTATTTAAAGTATTGTCTGTATGGTGAATTTTTTCTGCTATCTGAAGTGATTGTGTGGCCCATAAAAATGTTGTTGTCTCCATATGTTGCAGAACGGGTGGTTTATTATAGTTGATTCCATCCTGATAGTGTAATCTGCCATACAGTACATAACATCTCCCAATTATGAACCTCCCATTTACGAACTCTGGATTTTACAATACCAAATTTGCGGCGATGACGTCATTACGAACGATAGTTTTTAACTATAGATATATTTAGAAGTCTTCAGAAATAATTTAAACGGTTACATCAGCTAAGAAAGAAAACATTGAAAGCAATAAAGCTAAATTTAAAGCAAGAAATCTCAATCGTTTTCAGCCGTGATTGTATTTGAGTTGTGCATGCTTGTTCAGGCACACTGTACTAGGTAGAGTAAATCTCACTTTTTGATCATTAGGGGTGCTATTCACATGGATTTGCGATCTTCATGAAAAGTAACACTCGTTTTGGGCATTTATGGTCATATTTTCATTCGGAAATCACTTAAAATTAATACTTCACAGTGAGCACATGTAATTTTGGCTTCTGTAAAGTATTACTTTGTTGCAGAAAACAGTAAATTCCAGAAGTCGTAAATTTGTGACAACATTTTTCTCACATGGCCAATGCTTAGGCCACCTAGCCTAGCCCTATTTTGTAGCATGGCCTAGGCCTACACTCACCACACTGAGATGCTGAATTTAGAACTCTCTGAATTGCGAATTTTCTCATTTACGAACCCTGTTTGGACGGAGGGGTACGTAATTGGGAGATGTTACTGTACTAGTAGGTCTATATTAGGATGCAAATTAAATATGAAGTGTACAGTAAATAGGTATTTATTAGCAATAGATAGATTTATGTTGATATAGTATCATTTTAGAATGATAACTCATTGTATAATATCTAGATTAAATTATTATTTAAATCTAGATATTCCATTCCAGTCCCAAGGTGCTTTCAACAACGTGGGGAAATATGAGATTCTGCTCTTTGCTCAGTTACTTTTTAATCAACCACTTAGCAACACTTGAATTTTTGAAGGAATGGTTGATGTTGAAGATCAATGCAAACATGCGAGGAAAACCAAAGTGCAACAGGTTGACAAAGCAGTTTACATAGTAGTTCATAGTTCAGCCAGCAATTCTAATGATTAATAATAGAAATTAAGAGCATCATCATACGTTGCCAATACTTTGAATAGTACATAATCAATAATATTGGATGTTTAACACCTGTTGAGCTGTGTGGAGGTAGCTAGACCACTAAGGCTTCCTGTGTACTGTCATTGAAAGCATCTAGGTCAGTGAAACAGTAAATTTGACAGTTCTCTGATTGGCTGTACTGAGAGACAATACCTGCCAAAATGAGAATAAGTATAAATAATATACTGTAACAGTATTGCATCTTGAATGTTGAATCTAGACTGGTACAGTATACAAAGAGTAGCACATACTATCTGCAGGTATATCCAGTTGTTTGTTGTTTGATTGGAACACTGAATAGAAGCGCTACGGACAAGAAATTAGCATCATCCTCTTCAACCGTTGTTAGAATGGCAGGTTTGTACAATTGGTGTTAAGTCTAATTTCTGTAAACTAGATTATTTTAATTTGATAATTTTGTTTATTAATAATTTAAAGTGAAAAATGTAGTTTTCATACAACAAAATAGACTACAGTATTCTAGGTAAATACTTGGCTAGATAATTTCATTTATTTTATATAATTTTGTTTTCTTATTTACTGTAGCAAATATTTTTGCCAAAAACATCCAGACAGAGGAGAAAATAAAAAATAACATTTTATTGGCGGATGTTATGGGATAGTTAGATGCTTCAAATTTATATAATTAGGAAAAAATATCTTATCTTTAGAGATTTTAAGGTGGCGGAGGGTGTAATAAAAAAAATGTTTTAACTTTTATTTTTTTCTGAAATTTACATTTTTTCATGGAGGCAGGTGTGCTAATTGACTTGAAAATAAACTTATTCGAAATCATCAATAATTTGCAGTCGGCAGGTTTGCTAAACAAGGTACAAAGAAAGTGTTGCCTAATAACAAAAGATGCTTGCTTTCCAGTCCCTGGTCACTGCAGGATTTTTTCACCTGACTAAAAACAGATCCATTCACTACACCTCAAGAGACTTGCATCATTCCATTCTGTAAAGTACCGAGTGTACTTGCTGTTGGATGTGAAGGGGGAAAAAATTGAATGAGATGTTATGAATTGCAGCATTTTTATGATTTAATGAGTATTTCAAATTGATTGATGATGTAGCAGCTTTGACATTGCATAATGAACTGATCATCAAAACGTAATAATGATATGAACATGGTCTATGAACACACCTTACTACCACCATACCGAGCAAACACAAAACATGATAGTATTATAGCGAATGTTGATGCATGTCAGAAATATAGTGACACAACGTTGCACCAACATTTGCAATGTTATTTTAGTCGGAAATTATGTTATAAAAAATTGTCAGCTGGGATAATTCTATGTCGTACCAATAAATCTACATAATGTATAGTAAAAATTGCATATTATGCAACTACATACAGTATATTTTATTGGGTAATATACTGATGTGCTTTATGCAATGTATAATATCCAACATCAATGCCATACTGGAGTAAGAATTATGACATGGTTGTTGGTTATTGATTGATGTAAAACTACATATTTGTTTTTGTGAATTATACCCTTTAATGCACTCATAGTAAATACCTTAAGCTTATATAATGCAATTGATTGGACAGGACATTCATTATGGGCAGACACTAATGTGATCAGTATAATGTTATCATTAATCACAGTTCTAGTCTCGGATCAAGGCTGGTTTATCAAATGCTGATAGTGAATAAATAGTCTCATTCCATGATCGTATCACTACTGTTAAAATATTTTAATTTAATGATAATTTATTCTGTAGAATTGAGGCATTTATTTAGAAAAAGAAAAATTGATGCTTGAATAATGTTTAGGTGCTCGTCTTTCAACCCTAGGTTCCCGGGTTCAAATTTTTCTGTAGTGAGTCGCTTACAATATCAAACATTTTCACAGACACTACTCTCTTTCAGAGGTGTTAATAAGAGTTGCAAAACCATTTTCCATTGTTTTTTGTGAAGTCAACTAAAGTACTGTACTTGGTTACACATAAAAATGTATATACATGGTTACATTAAAATGGTTCATCAAAATCTATTATTTTAAATGTTGTATGTTATTTTGAATCAACATATTTTGTGTAAAAGTGTACAAATTTGTCTACGCGATAAAAATTTATTTTTGGGAATATCGCAATGTGCATAATTCTTTGTTTTAATGAAAAACAGGTCTCGTTTTAGAGACCACTCCTGTGGAAGAACACCTCCAATTAAAGACCATATTTCTGCAGTCCCAAATTACCTTCTTATACCTTTTTGGTAATTTTTTTTTTTCTAATTTAAGACTAAAGACCATGAAAACCTTGGTCCCAAAAGTGGTCTTTAATTAGAGGGAGTCCTATGCATCTGGCTTTGTTAGGTATTAATTTTTTTGTTAAATATTCCATATTTGAAATGATAAAAAGTTTTTAACTCAAGATGCTTAAATAATTCATTTAGATTATTGAACATTTAAATGACTGAAAACTGAAGATGTGTCATTACTGTAGTAATTGACACATTCAGTTGCCAACTCAATGGTGTGGTAATATTACACGTTTTATACTGAATTCACTCATTGTTAAGGAGGAAGTGCAGAGGATCATGTGACCAAAATAATTATTGTGAAATGCGTCAGGATGCTGGTCATCAATTCACATGCATTATGTGATTAAGTTAAATTCATACATTTTGTCAGCTTTGTTTGTGTTGCAGAAATATGATTTAATTGATTGATTTCTAGTATTATCATATTTATTATTACAGGACTACTTAATACTATAGACAGGTGGCATCCATGAACCACAGTGGTTTTTCAGAGATTTCTGTCTTTCATATAATGATAATTTATTCTTTATATAACCATTAATATTAAGAATGTAATTAATAATACTTCTATTTTCATTGTTTTTATAATATTACTTTAATTTCAATGATTTTTATTTAATATGATTTCCTGGTGGGGACACAAATTTTGTCATCAAAGAAACAAAATTTCAATATTTGTTATGGAAATGATTTGTAGTATTGGTAGAGGTATTATGTACAGTAGGATATAACCTATGACCCACTTAGCTCTACAAGACTGAATTGCTTATTTGTGATGTAGCAGCACTCATTCTACAGTAAGCGCCTTTTCATGTCATGTACTGGCTGATAACATAGGCTTCATCTGTCTACATGAGTTATACAGAGATATTTGGTGATTGTGTATGTTTGACATATTATATTTTGATAAAATGTTTAAATATGATAATAAAATAAAAATAAAATAATATTGATAATTTTCTTTGTATATTGTAGATCGACTAGATGACTTGTAGGCTGGTCATGGCCGGTTGGGAAACATCAGGCACCTATCCTTTCCAATCTCCACAATCAATAACCCATGACGATTTTATAGATACTTTCGTCAATAAATCGTACCCACCTCGACAAAGTACATTAAATGCTCTGAAATTTTCGCCATCACCAAGAAAAAGTGGAACCATGTTTTGTACAAGAGATAATATAGACCAATGTGTCTCATACCTAGACCAGGTAAGTAATTTTTCATACCAAGATCAATAATTATATAATTACTGCTCATTTTTACATTTCACTTTCAGACTTTTGTTTTTTTTTCAAATAATTTGTATTCTTACATTTAAAGTGAATTCATGAGGGTTTCTTTTTATATAAGCACTATAAAAATATTGAAACCATTATTATGACTGTTGAAAATCTTTATTAAGAGTGTTATCATTCATTTTTCATTATTTTCACTATTGTAAATATTGTTGAGTACTCTTCAGTTAAAGATTTGTCTCCAAGCTGTTCCTAACTTTTAGTATAGTTGTCTCACCTTTGGTACAATAAAAAATAGACCTACTACACACTGTGCAACTGAATGGTGACGCTCTGATTCACAACGCCATGGTCAAAGGGAATAACAGTTGCTGGGGATGGTGCCTCTGTGTTTTCTTATAGTTGATAGTCTTGATGCTCGCAAACTCTGACTTTCGGTATAAACCGCTGACTTTCAACTTTCTGATACTTTACTATCCTCTGCTGGTTAAGTAATACTGCTATTCACTAGTCCCATCAAGTTTATTGTCTTTTCTTAAATGTTTGTGTGATACAGTAGGACTGTATTTTTACTCCTCATCAAGAACGAATTATGACTTCATTTGTATATCTATAATAAATAGTAGCTTGATTATGTTCAGATTCAAACCATGTGTTTTTAATTGTTAAATGTACGCTTAAATGAACTAGGGATTTTTAAAGTGTGGCCTACAGAACATAGGAAGTGCGAACTTGTTGATTGTAAGGTGTATGCAGCTACCTGAAAAACTGGAAAGGAAGTTGTGGAATACATGAGCTGAGTTGATTAAGCTTTAATTAAGCAACATTTCATATCAAAGTCAAGAACATTTAATTTTAACCTCTTCCTTTTTAGTCAACAGGGTACTACTGTACAAAAATCACAATACTATAGTTCAGAGGTCATTTTTTGCATCCTTTCCATTAAGTATGTTTCTTTATATTTAAGTCAAAATGAACATTCAAAAGCTCTTCTTGTTGTTATCTCATTTTACACTTTGTCTGAAGCTTTGGTTTCCATACAATGGCTACATTCTATTGCCAGCAGCATTCGGTGATGCTGATTGGTTGGTCGAAATGGGGAGCCTTTCCGATCGCGTCTGGGACTGTTAATCGGTACAACGATTGCACTGAAAGCACTGTAGCGACAGTGTAGTGATTTTAAGAAAACCAGGCTTAAAACTGTGGATGGATTTCAGCTGCTCATTGGTTGGATTGTCAAGCTCTTTCAGGCCTCTACAGTAATTCCATTCGGAGTGTAGCAACGGACGCAGTCCGTACAATGTGTTGGAATTTTTTGGACTATTTCTGTAAATTTACAAACTGATTTCTGGGATAAATTCCCTCTTACTTGCCATTGAAATTGTCCTTTTTCATGTACCTGAGCAGAGGTAGCTTTAGGCTAGATTTTTAATAGTTTTTTTGGTATTGGAACCAGAAAACCACATTAGGCCTACTGTAGTTGGCTTGGTAATGAATTCTTTTAATTTAAAAAAAACATGGAACATGCATAGTACGAGGATCATACTTCATTCAATTTAAAAATACCTTTTAAATTGTGATAAACTTTTCTATTTCTGTCATAAAATTGCTAATAATATTAACAGTGAGAGCAAAGGTTCTCTTTGCTACTCATTTTGTTTGACCGGTCAAAATTATAAACATTTTAGATTTATTGGATGTGACGCAAAGCCTGTCTGGACGTGCCTGCTGACCGTCATGAGTAAGCCTTCTGCGCTATCAAATCGTATAACATACTTGCAAATTATCTATAGGCAAATTGGCCCTGGAAATAACTGTATGGTCCGGCTAATCTGTTAGCACATGAGGCTGGTAACTTTATATCAAGTTCAAAATTTGCAGTTAAAGGAAATTCAGTGCTTTAATTCATATTCCACAGCACAAAATGGCTAAACCCTGCCTTTTGTAAAGTAGAGTGGAATGTAAATTGACATTATTTAGTATGTGTTTGTCTAATAAGATTAATAATCAAACCAACAAAAACCTTTAAACTGCAAAATGAAATCCTGATTGCCACTGAAGAAGTATTATCAGTGTTGCAATACTGTCTGCAACAAAAACGTGAGCATTACATTTTTTTCTTGGAATGATGACAACAGTGAACAGAGCAAATTTTAAAATTACACCATTTTAGAGAATTTATTTTGAAATGCTGGCAAAATTTATTGATTAAATTGTACCTTAAATATTTGATGTTATTTAAAGTCCGATATTAATATCTGCTAATTTTAATGTCCCAGAAGAAGTTTATATCATATCTTGATTTAAATATGAAATTGATTATATTTCGTTACAGGAGATAACATTACTGGGCTTCCAATCATTATACACTCCAGCTATTCATGAGAGTACATCAGCTGGAACATTTGACGTCACCAAGTTGATTAACTGTTGCTTTGACCTTATGCAACGACATCAAGAAACTAGGAGGTTTCAAGAAGAATTAGAAAACAAGTAAGATATAAAATCACTTTGCATGGATGGCACGGCTGGTTAAGGATGTGTTCTAACGAACTTTAAAGGTTGTTAGTTCAAATTGCGTCTTGTTATCAATTTTTTTTTTTTCCAATTTAAAAAAAAAAATTTTTTTTAAATTTTAAGATATTTTAATTTTGTACATATGAACATTCTAAATATTATTTTTTTTTGTACAAATAAACATCCTAATTATTTAAACATTTCTATCTTATTAGCTCTTCCAAAAAACCCAATATAATAACTTGCGCCTGTACCGTATTTAAATGTGGAGGAATGCGCGGACCAATGAGCGGTTGCTCTTGTTTTCACAAGTCGACCCTATAAAAAGAATAGAATATTCCACTACGTACAGTAGTTTTATCAAGTCATTTATTATAATTATTTTATTAATTCACGTAATCAACATTAGCCATGTTTTACCTGGCACTTGCAGATTGGTATAATAATACATTTAATCAAGATACACTAAAACAAATATGGATCTAATTTCTGTCCTTTGTCATATGAGGTTGAAAAGAATTCCATTTCCTTTCAACTCCTACAGCACTTTTCTTTTCCCTCTAGTTAGCTTTATCTATTCATGGCCAACAACCTGATTATCTGACAATATTAGAAGATTTAGCACATTGATAGTGTCTAAAATGAATAATTTAGTTTCAATTATCGACAATCTCAAGAAGTCAATAAGAATGATGAACACTTACAAACTAACTACTTTCACTTTGTCACTAATTAGGTTCAGATTAATAATAACAATAATAATATTTATTCGAACATATACCTTCAGATCAGTGGCACTGATGCATATTAAATGATACAAAACAAATGTATCAAGATTCTTTAATTACTAGTACATAAAATAACAAGAGCAAGAGATAACGAGGTTACATCTATTCAGCATTTTAACGTTTCGTGTATACACTATTAAAACCTGCTTAAATTAAATCATGCAGGAAATATATATATATATATCGTAATTGGGTTTTTGGCAAGGATTGGTAATTGTCAATAATTACTACCACCACTAACAGAAAAAAAAATAAATAAAAATAAAAACAAATAATAAGGATAAAATAAATTGTCTTAAAATTGAAAAAAAATATTGAATACCAAGATGCAATTCGAACTCACGGCCTTAGGTTCCTTATAAGGCATTGTTAACTGACTGCGCCATCCGTGCGAAGTGTCCTATTTGTGGTAATTGCAGTAATGTACAGTCCTTGTTTTGTTTTGTAGGTGTAGAGAGCACCCTGGGGTCAAACTTAAAATAGGGCCATGAACATTTGTTGGAAATAACCTCTAGTTTATGTACAAAATGTCTTGCGTGTCCATTCAAAACTGGCGACGCTAGACACTTTTAAAGTTTGTAACAATAGCTGTGAGGTCCACTGTGCGCGGACCAAAAAAAGATTATTAACCTAAACACAATAATAATGCTGCTGATGAGATAGGTAGCTCTTCAAATGTATATGAACAAGCAGAGACATTGACATGAACAACATGATTCGATTGTCACAAATTTTTAAGAGCCACCTGTATCACCAATTAACACTACAATAAAGTAAGGGTAGAAAAAACTACAAAGTACTCAGTAATACATACTTAATCTACAACAAGGATTGTAAAACCACTAGATATCAATCAATATATAAAGTACAAAATGTTAAGTACACTTGGCTATAACTTGAAAATAATTATTTCCACCTATGATATCTTAAGTATAATCTGTAAAAAGAATTTGACTGTCCGAATTATCGCAAAGCTGTATGCAAGGCCTATGTAGAGTGTTTGCATACTGTATTGCCCTGGATTCTATATTGCATAAGGACACTTCATTGCATAGCTTAATTAGCTGCATTGCCCCTGTTTAGCCAGACTATCTGCATAAATTTCTGCATTTTATGATTTAGCCAGCGGCTATACACAGCAAATGACGATTTTATTAGCTCATATGTCGTGAGGAGACCATGTATTATGCGCTGTACAAATCCCCTAAAATTACCATTACCATAGACTACAGTATTGTAGCAAGGCCTTGCAGTATGTAGGTCCAGGACATTCTCTCATGACTAAAATATATCAGCTGCTAAGGCTTAGGTCCAAATAAGTTGCATAAGGATGGGAGATTGATGATGCCTTTCTTGGGCTTTTCTTCTCCAGTGAAATTAAATAAAAGGCCCTAAAATATCATGAAGGAGGATACAAGAATAATTTTTAAAAGTTAAGTTATAGAATTTGGTCATCTCGTAGTTATATGGCTGTCTC